ATGTCTCCTGAGAGAGTACATCAAAATAAAAAGTTTCCACACAATGAAACAAACAATTGACAAAACTAAGTCAAAGGGCACCTGAGTAGCTCCATCAGTTAACCATCTGACTCTTGATTTTGGCTTTGGTTATGATCTCAGGGTCCTGGGATCATGCCCTAAGTCAGGCTCTGTTCTGGATGTGGAGCCTGCTTAATATTCTCTCTCCCCCACCTCTCCTCTTCCTAAATAAATAAATAGATGTCAACCTACAGAATGGGAGAAGATATCTGCAAAAGACTTATCTGATAAAGAATTAGTGTCCAAAATATATAAAGAACTTAAAAAACTCAACACCCAAAACATAATCCAATTTAAAAATACAGTATGATTTCACTCATAATTTAAGAAACAAAACAAGCAAAAGGAAAAAGAGACACAAACGAAAAAACAGACTCTTAATTTTAGAGAACTGATGGTTACCTGAGGGGAAGTAGGTGGGGGAATGGGTAAAATAGGTGATGGAGATTAAAGAGTACACTTATCATAATGGGAAAAGAAAGATTTAAAAAATAAAATATATACAGAAATATAGATTACTTTATACACCTGAAACTAATGTCAATTATGACTCCATTAAAAAAAAAACAGTCTAAACCAAACAAAACCACACAGTCTCACACCATAGAGTCTACATTGCTAAAACTGGATTTCCATTGATTTTCCAAGTGGCAAGAAAGTCACCCAATTCAGCCACAGAAATCAGAGTTCCCTTAGGACAAACACATACAATCAACAAAAACGATTTCTAATTCATCTGATGTTAACACACTTAGGTTGACCAACACACCTTATAACCAACCTAAGACTTAAATCTCAATTAGAAGGCCAACATGTTAATACACAACAAGATACATTACTATCAAAAATCTGGAACGCTTTTTATTAGTGAGACAGCCCATTTCCTCCCTATAGAAGATTTATACGAGCTGTCAGTGTATGGTAAGATTTTGATGTGCACTGAACTGTATCAAGGAACGGGTCATCTGGGGCAGTGTCCTCTACCTCAGAGAATGAAAACCTTCACAAACCACAGAGAGGGCTGTGTCAGACATTGTTCAAACTTATTAGCAGAGGGACTCCCACTCCCAGCCCACCTCCACCATGAAGCTGAAGAAGCATGGCCCTATCCGCCTCGCTAGCTTGCTTTTCTTGCAGTTGTCGTTTCAGTTATTCAGGTGTGCCAGGTTAAGTAACCACTCTTAGCAACACTTTTTTTCCTTAGTTATTTGAAACCAGAAATAAGATTCCTGGCAGGAATTTTTACTTCCTGCGTAAGACCTGGGAATACATTTTTTAGATCGTAAAATAATCGATCAATTTTGAGTATATTTTATAATTTAACTGTCAGGGCTTTATGCTTGACCACCACTGTCACCTAAGTTTTCTTAAAGCAGTAATTCTTTTAGAAACTCTGGTCATAAACCAATAGTTACTTACATAAGGAATTAGGACCCTTGACCTCAGTTCCTTATTAGTATAATAGGAGCAAAAAAAAAAAGTTCTCTTCAAGTTATCATCTGTGGTTCAATAATTTAAATTTCAATTCCCTCAACAAGGTCAAAAGGAAACTTCCAAATCCTAGAAATATTTTTAAGTCAACTTCTTAAAGGCCCTTATTCCTTGATCCCTTTAGTTATGCTGATTTGCATAGATCCTAACATACCAGCTGCAATGGTTAATAGAAATACATGCACATACAACGAATAGATGTCAATCTCCATTTGTCCAGATAGAACCATAGCCAATTTCTGAGTTCTGAGGGTTCAGAGATTCTTCTAAATCTCATTTCTTCAATAATTAAGAAATTTCAGGGGCACACAAGTAGCACTCGGCAAAACAAAAAAGTAGTTTTCCAATTTCATCAGAAATAAAAATCTGACGTCCCAGGCAATTCACAAGATATATTCTCTGAAAGTCCCCTCCAACTTTTCAGTGATTGAAGAACTGGTGCTCTAAGATACCATGTTGTTGGAGAAGTAAAAAATAAATAAATAAATAAAAATAAAAATAAACAACTGAATTTGCCTTAAAAGCTAAGGATCTCACTGAGGACTTGCTCCTAATTTCCTACGGCCACGGAATGAATACCTCCATCAGCCACTGGCTGTGCTGAGTCAGAGAATAAGCTTCCAGGGTTCTGATAGCAATCTAGGAGTTTAAGTACTTCTTTGGAAGGTTTCAGTTTTTTTTGTTTTTTTTTTTTCTTTTCTTTTCTTTTCAGCTGTCTACCCCACCTTCAGAAGTATCTTGTACCTCTAATTCCTGAACCTTTCCAAGATCCTGGGACTTCAACCAACATGCTTCTTCACACCTGTTCCCAGTTTCTTAGGACTGTTTAGTCTGATTGATTACTACTATGCTGTTCCTCCAACATTTTGTCGTCGATCTTTTATCTACTCGAGCACCTCTCACGTTCCTTTTTCCTTGTGTGGCTATACATTTTCTAGTCTCTTTGGGTGGGTGAATCCAAGAGTGGAAATAATGCCATTGAAACACATGTTTAACCAAAACCAAGACTAGCAAATTTCTTTACATTTCCCTATCCCAATTTAAGAATTGTGGACCCAGCTTCAGAGGCGACATCTCTCGGATGCCATAGTTTTATATCGGCTCGAAATTCCACAAGGGAGATCAAACCTTAAGTATCATTTTTCAATACTACCTTCCTTAATCAAGGTTAAGAAATAAAGATTACTCACAGCAACGTGTTAGTGAGACGGCCAAAGCTTGAGAAAGGAAACTCCTAACTTATGAAGGACAAAGGAGCTTTGAAATCAGTTCTACACAAATCCATACTTCCCCTTCTCAGGAGGCAAGGAGAGCTGACAGTCCTAAAATAACCCAGATGAGTGACAGTGGGGACAACCAATTATATCGTTTCTGATTTGGGACACAGAGTTGTGCTTCCCCTTAGTGAATGGTAAGCCTGCGCAATTTTGCCAAATAGTAAAAGGTAAAATTTTATTTATTTATTTATTTATTTTTAAAAGGTAAAATTTTAACAAGACATTTTATGCTTCCATTCCCTTTCCTTGTTTGAACTTGAATAATTAGGGAAGATCAAATAACCTAGGCTTTTTTGCACCATGCTCTAGGAAGTCTATCAGCAGTCAAGAGGATGCCCTTCCTTTACCAAATGGCTCAGAAGCACCCGCACTTAAACCCCGGTAACTCAAGGTTTCCAAGGTTTTCCTGAAATACATACCAGCTGGTAGCATTCCTTAAGTTCTTCAGGCATTGTAACGGTGACAAAAATGAGCCCCAAAGTATTTCAAAATGGAGGTTTAAGTAGTTACAATTAGAATCGTATCACTGCTGTTAATAGAAAACACGTGTTCTTCATTTTCCATAAACAAGGCCTTTCCAGAACATTATTACTTTAAAAGATTTTTCCAGTAACCACCTATCTGGGGCTCCCTCAGAAGATGCAAACATACTAATAACGCTAATTTCCTTCATAGGAAAGAAAAATATAAAAGAGAGTCTATTCCCCTACACCTGGTAATTAAGCAGCTACAGTCTGCTGGCCAAAATCCATTGTGTCCCTTTAATGCTACCTACATAATTAGCTGTACTGCCACAAGGTCTAGGATTCAATAATCTAGTTACATGATGCAAACCCAGAGAAAAAGTAGACTACAGAATAGGAGAAGCACCTGGAACTGTTTCACTGTTTGGGTTTCAGATGGAACCACTGGCCTGATGACTTGAATCAAGGGTGATTAGGCCTCTTTGTGCTTCCCTATTGCAAATGCCAACATTCAGGAAGATAACCATAGCCCGATGTGGGCCCTTGGGTTTCTGGGGTGCGTGCCAGCATGGTGGAATAGGGAAAAGATTTTTCTAGATCATAAGCTACCCTCTTTTCGATTGGTAGCAACTCATTAGCTTAGTGTTCATCACAGCCACCTGCAAAGGATAGGCTAAAAGAGGGATCTCTTTTGAGATACAAAAGGGGGGGGCGGTCCCTGGGTGGCTCAGCGGTTTAGCGCCTGCCTTTGGCCCGGGGCGCGATGCTGGAGTCCAGGGATCGAGTCCCACGTTGGACTCCCCGCATGGAGCCTGCCTGTCCCTCTCCCTCTCTCTATGTCTATCATAAATGAATGAAATCTTTAAAAAACAAAAGAGAGAGAGAGAGAGAGAGAAAAAGCTCACTTCAAGGTTTAGCATCCTAGCACACCACCGCACTGGCTTCAGGAGGTTTCAACACCTCTGCTACTGGCCTACCTCTACCCTTCCAGCCTCGCCCCGCCCTATTCCTGGGCGCCAGAGTGAGATAAGCAACATACCCCCCCTCCCCGTTTTCGCCCCACTAAGGCTCCCCTCGTTCTGCCATCCGACACTCCTCCTCCATTTCCCCTTCAAGTCAGTGCATTTTGTTAACAGGATCAAGCACAGATGGGCTTTCACTTCAGAATCTCACACCCGGAACTCCAGGATCCCCCGTTGAGAGGCTCGAATTACGGCCCACCCTGAGCACTTCCGTCCTCCACGGAGGGTTCGTGTTAATGAGTGAATGGATCACAGTGAACCAAGGCTCGCAGGGCAGCTCACGCACGCTCGCGGCTGCAGCGGGGAGACGCCCGAAAGGACAGGTCCTTAGGCCGCGCTCGGGCCGCCGTGCAAACCGCAGTCCCACCCGGTGCTCTCCCCGGCCGGGCTGCCGAGGCCGGGCTCCCCCTCCCCCCTCCCCCCTCCCCCCTCCCCCCTCCCCTCCCCCCCCGCCGCGGGCCGGGGCAGAGGGGGCTCCCGGGGCTCGCGCGCGGGGCTGCTGGGGAGCGGACCTCCAGCCGGGACGCAGCCCAAGCCCGGAGGGCCTGCCTGTGCGCGCGGAGGCGCCAGCGCGAGCGCAGCTCCGGGGCAGGCGTCGCGGGCCGGGCCGGGCCGGGCCGGGCCGGGGCGGGGGCCGGGGCGGGGGCCGGGGCGGGGGGCCGGGGGCGCGCCCGGCGCCGCGTTACCTCTCCAGGGCCTGCAGGGTGTAGCTGATGAGCGGCCTCTCCAGGACGGGGCAGAACTGCTTCGGGGTGGGGACGCCCATCCTCTCCCCGCTGCCCCCCGCCGGCAGCACGGCGGCCACGGCGGCCACGGCGGCAGCGGCAGCGGGAGCGGGAGCGGCAGCGCCGCGCCAACCGGGGCCCCGAGCGGCGGCGGGCCCGGGCTCCATGGCGGCGCGCGGCGCGGCAGGCCCGGCTCCCTGCGGCGGGCCGCGGCGGAGGAGGGCGGACGGCGGCCGGGCCCCGGGGGGCGCTCGAGCAGCCGCGCCCCCTCCGTCGGCGTCCGCGGCCTCCGCACCGAGCCCCGCGCCCCCCGCGGGCCTGGGTTCCCGGCGGGCCCGGGCGGTCGCCTCGGGTGCAGCGTCGGCCCCCGCGCTTAGCGCCGCTGTGCGCAGGCCAGAGCGGCCGCGACCCCCGCCACTCCCGCTCCCCTTAAACCTCTGGATTCAGGTTACGGGATGAGGCCCAGAGATGTGCCCCTCCATGTCTACCCTTGGCCTAAGCTCGACAGGTGGACGGGCAGAGGTCATAAGAGCCCCGGGTGTGGGGCGTCTCCGGGTGCCGCAGCGGCTTAGCGCCCGCCTTTGGCCCGGGGCGCGATCCTGGAGACCCGGGATCGAGTCCCGCGTCGGGCTCCCTGCATGGACACACTCTCTTCTCTTCTCTCTTCTCTCTTCTCTCTCATCTTACAAAAAAAAATCCTGATATGTAAACTGCCAGGATCTCAAATTTGTCTGCTAAGTGGAACTACCTGACACCTATGATGGGATTGGGGTTGAATGGCCTGGCCTGAGTTTTGGAATGAGTTTATCTTTTTTTTAAGATTCATAAGAGAGACAGGCAAAGGGAGAAGCAGGCTCCATGCAGGGAGCCCGACACGGGACTCGATCCCCGGTCCCCAGGATCAAGCCCTGGGCGGAAGGCAGGCACTAAACCGCTGAGCCACCCAGAAATCCCCTGGAATGTGTTTAAAGATCCCCAGATACTTTCTAATGAGCCGGCGCGTTTTGGACACGCAGAGCCAAAGCGAAAATGCAATAATTGCTAAACAACCGACACACATAGGCCCATTTAATCTCCGGGAGAACCCAACTATTACTGGGGTTTTGTTTGTTTTGGGTTTTTTTGTTTTGTTTTGTTTGTTTTTACAGAGAAAGAGAAAAGGTTGTGATGTTTAAGTAACTTGTGTAAAATTGCACACCTAATGGCAGAGCTGCCTTAAGGCCCTTGCACAGAAGTACAGCCAGCATTGAAGAATTCAACTGGAGCATATATGCCCTTTATTTAGTCCTTGCTGGCAGTGTTTAGTGGGCAAATGTCCTGAAGTATTTGGAATGTCAGAGCCTATTGTATTAGGTCCCTGAAATGTAAACCCCATGAGAGTAAGGTCCTTAATTTTGGTTTGGGTTTTGTGCCCAGTGCCTGGAATATAAAAGAAGTGTAATAATTATGTATTGAATGAACTACTGATTGAATAAGTTAATGATAATTAAAGTATAGAATATTAAATATTTGCTGATTTAAAAAAATAATGAAATCAAATAAAATATTTGCTGATTTAATCTTCACCCATAAGTTAATGTAAGATTGATTAAAAAAAAGCAATCTTTTAAACAAACTATTACCAGGTCATAATATTCCAACCCAGTATTTTTACCCACTTTTCCCAATTGAGGTTAAAGCATACGAAATTGGAATAGAATTTTTCTATCCTTTGTTGATCAGTGACTGAGCATGCTTTTAATACATTCAATACACTCCTATTTTCAATACACATGTTTCAATATGGAAGTACTTTCAAAACAAAAGTAACAAAAAAGTACTTTTATTATAATTAACGTTAGGTCCATTATAACTAGTTTGTCAGATGAAAAATAAGCATCCTAATATACTTGACTTGATAGCACCATTGCCACACCTGTGTCTAATTAATACCTGTTGACTAACTGGATAAATGAATAAAAGAATCTATACACAGGCAGAAAGGCAAATCAAATAAGTGTTTCTGTTAATATTGATGGTAACTTCCCTTTTTAGTCTAATAGTGGAGTTAAAACTATTTTTCATTTTCTTAACCTCAGCAAAAAAATCATAGTAATAAGAGTCATATTAATTGCTATGTATTACAGATTTATTTATTTATTCATTCATTCATGATAGACATAGAGAGAGAGAGAGAGAGGGAGGCAGAGACACAGGAGGAGGGAGAAGCAGGCTCCACGCCTGGAGCCCGACGTGGGACTCGATCCCGGGACTCCAGGATCACGCCCTGAGCCAAAGGCAGGCGCTAAACCCCTGAGCCACCCAGGGATCCCCTGCTATGTATTACAAATAACTAAATCTCACCAAATTCTAGCAGGAATCTTGTTTTACTGATTTAGTTTTGTTTTAGAGCAAATATATTAATTTCGCTGTTTACTATGAATCTTAGATCTTTTATATTGTATGTGAACAATATTTAACAGACTGTTCATTTGTCTATCAGTATGAGAAGCAACATTTTTTCTGTATCTTTTTATATAGATATAAATAATTAGTTCCTTGTGCATATTTTCGGTAAAAAATATAGTTTCCATGTAGTTTTATACCAACTTGTAGCAGCCACATTATGAAATTATCTTCTCTGCAACAAGTAGCCAAAAGTACATACCTTGGAAAGTGAGGACCTCTGTGATCCATTGATAATAACCATTCTACAATATCACTTGATAAATTTAGAAAAAAACCCAAATGTCTCACAATGCAGAGCATGCAAAGGGCAAAGTTCTTGGAGTGGTTCTTGATCTGGACTCCGGATAATGGTCTCCCAAAGTTGCCCATGTTCTAACCTCTGAAACCTTTGAATACGTTACCTGACCTTAGAAAAGGAACATATGGCTTGATTGAATTAAAGGTCTTCAAATGGGGAGCATAGCCTGGATGATCCAGGTGTGCCCAACGTAATCACAAGTGTCCTTATAAGAGAGGAGTCAGATTCAGAGAAAAAAGTGTGAGGATGGATTTGTAAGGTCAGAGTGATACGATGCTATGAGTCAAGGATTCCAGGAGTTTCTAGAAGCTGGATAAAGCAAGGAACCAAATTCTTCAACTAGAAATTCCAGGAGAATGTAGCTCTGCCAAACCATTTTGAGACTTCTCACATCTACAACACTTAAATAATAAACTTGTTTTAAGGCACTAAATTTGTGATTCGTTATCACACACATAGGAAACTAATACAGTTTCATACTGAGGAAAACCTTCAAATTTACACGTTGACTATAATCTCCATGAAGTTATACATAGTTAAAACATAATGATGTGACTGAAGAAAGAAAACACTGCCCACTTGATTTTATTTATGTCCCATAATGACACTCTCAGTGCACTGTAATTTTTAAAATACCCTTTAATCATCCTGTGAATAATAAAATGTGTTTTATTGTACTGTGAGTGTTCAAAGCATAGCTTTGCTAAATGTATACCACAATTTTATCAACTCACTTGGATGTGTCAATTTTTTTTTTAATGCATGTAAAAGTGTCTGTTACATGGAAGTGGCTCTCATCTTCATAACTGAAAGACCTAAAACTCCCCTTTGTTGTTTGTTTCTCTATGTCAATGTACCCTGGAAGATTATCTTGGGGACATTATTATTATTATTACTGAATTTTAGATCGAGTTTCTTTTCTTAGTGTTAATTCAAGTATAATTATCACTGCCAATCATTCTCCTCCTCCTCCTCCTCAAACACACTGTTTTAATAGCATTTCTAGAGGTTAGTTGGGGTGTTGCTCACAAATGCAAATGAACAGCTTAATGGTTTACCCTTTAACTCTGTTGAAATAGGAGCCAAACAGAATATATTATTATTCTACCATGGGCCAGTCCCTGTATTTCTGTCAACCTATGAATTCTAATGCCTGTTTTGCCATTGTGTTGTCTGTAAATGCTACAGTCTATTAACGTCTGACCTTTAATTCATTTTTCTACATAATAAAAATGATGCCCCATGATGAAGTCTTTCTGTGGATAATTCAAACTGAACACCACATGACAACAAGATTTTCATCTTTCATTTTCTCAATATTTCTTACAAAGTAAATTATTAACTATCTCGACTGTCTACTTTGTTTTTCCTATTATAGCTAAAAAAAAAAAAAGATAAATAGCCTTAGGACCAAATTATAAACTTGATCATTACTGCTACCAAAGTTTAACTTGTCATACGAATTATTTGTATACAATATATAGCATTTCTTATGCACTCTATATAACATTATTTACATGTTATATATTGTATAATAATCTTAGAAAATATATTATTGGCACCCTCAGACAGAAATTTTGATTCAGTAGATCTGGAGTAGGCCTAGAAATCTTCTTTTTTAAAATGCCTCCTTAGGTGATTCTTCGTAAGCGTTGACCAGACTTACCAGTTAAGGGGCACCTGGGTAGCTCAGTAGGTTAAGCATCTGACTTCGGGGGTCATGGGATGGAGCCCTGTGTGGAGCCCAAGGTCAAGCTCCCTCTCAGAAGGGAGTCTGCTTGTCCCTCTCCCTCTGCCCCTCCCATCCATCCCCTTGTGCACATGCACTTTCTCCCAAACAAATAAAATTTTTTAAAATAATTGAGTAAAAATAAGCACTGAATTTTTTTAAAAAAATATATCCAATTCACTTTATATTTAATGCATTTAATTTCAAGACCTACAGCAGCGACGCCTGGGTGACTCAGCGGTTAGGGACCTGTCTTTGGCTCTGGTCTTTTTTTCTTTTTTTTTTTTTTTATTTATGATAGGCACACAGTGTGAGAGAGAGAGAGAGAGAGAGAGAGAGAGAGAGAGAGAGGCAGAGACACAGGCAGAGGGAGAAGCAGGCTCCATGCACCGGGACCCCGACGTGGGATTCGATCCCGGGTCTCCAGGATCACGCCCTGGGCCAAAGGCAGGCGCTAAACCGCTGCGCCACCCAGGGATCCCTTTGGCTCTGGTCTTGATCCTGGGATCTCCGATCAAGTCCCTCATCCGGCTCCCTACAGGGAGCCTGCTTCTCCTGCCTGTGCTTTTGCCTCTCAGTCTGTCTCTCATGAATAAATAAATAAATCTTAAAAAAAAAAAAAAAACCTAAAGCAAAGGAATGTAATATAGTAAACATGCCATATAAAAATTTTAAAATTGGGTAAGAAATCCATTAAAACACTTTCATTTCCGGGGATCCCTGGGTGGCTCAGCGGTTTCGCGCCTGCCTTTGGCCCAGGGCGCGATCCTGGAGTCCTGAGATCGAGTCCCACATCGGGCTCCCTGCATGGAGCCTGCTTCTCCCTCTGCCTGTGTCTCTGCCTCTCTCTCTCTCTCTCTCTCTCTCTCTCTGTGTGTGTGTGTGTGTGTGTGCGTGTGTTTCTCTCATGAATAAATAAGTAAAATCTTAAAAAGAAAAAGAAAATCAATTGTTTAAAAAAAAACTTGCATTTCCTTGTTAATTTATAAGGAAGGAAACACAAGGGGAAAACGTTTAAGTGCTAGAGGGGAAAGCAAAGATGTTAGAAAATT